GAGGGGCGGAGGGGGCGCCGGCCCCGGTGTGCGGGGATCGGGCGGGGCTGGTCCTGCCGCCCTCGGGGTGGCTGGTGGCCGGCAGGTTGCTTTTCGGGGAGCTGTTTGGGCAGCCGCCGCCGGCACTTAACGTAACTTAGGCTGAAGAAACTGAGTCATAGGTAGACCCCCACCTCGAATGATTTAGCAAGTTGAGGCTAAATTTTCGAGGCAGCCCTAATTCAGGTTGCTTGTTTGTGAGCCCTGGCTAACTGCTGCTGTCTTTCGTTGCCGCTTCTAATCTGCTGCTAAAATTCGGCTCGTCCAGGGAGCTGGTTCAAAGTTGCCCCTGCAAAATCCTGCTTTTTCAGTCGCTCACTGTCTTTCGATGTTATATTGCCTTTAAAAATGGGAGAATCTCCTTCGTTACGCTTTCTGCCATATGGAAACAGCCTTTTATATGTATTCCATACCATTTCTCCCTTTTATTACAACTATTCAAAATACACTTTCTTCCTATTCTTCATCTTAGTTTATTGATTTCTTTTTCGTGCTTTTATTCCCAAATGTGTTTCAGAGTTGAATACAACTTGAATGACTACTGATTTAGGGTATAATAATATACAAGTTTTAAATAACATTTCATCTGATACCTGTTTATACTGATTTGCTAGAAAAGATATGATGCAATGTGAACTATGATTAACGTGGGTTTAGGGGCTTTGGAGGATTCTTTTCTTTAGGTAGCTGGTGAGTGGCACGAGAGATTTAATTCAGGAAATTGCATAATTATGTCAGAAATATTACATATGAAACGCTTTGATAAACATTTGTATCAAGAAGACAAGCACACTCATCCTACTTGTTCCTACTTTGTAGTATTCATCATGGCTGCGCACTGGGAAAAGTGTAGTAGCTTTTAATGTAATTAGTATTAATTACATAGCTTGGTGTACGTAATACTTGTCATTTTCAAAGCATTTCCGTGCATGTTATTAAAATACTTACATGTGTTACAAACATATTGCATAAGGGATGTCATCCTGACTTTCACAGATGGATAACTGAGGGATGGGAAGAAGAACCTTGACTTAGCATTGATAAAAGCTTAATGCCACAAGAAGGGTTTGCAGTTGAGCAGAGGTGAGAGCTAGGGAGTTCCTATCTCTTGTGCTTTGTATTTAGGCCAGTGTATTAATAGCTTACAACATCATCTGCCTTAGGCAGTCTGTGCGTTGTTCTAGGGAGGATAAAATGCACAGCACACTATGAAGACTGTAACAGGTTAGATGCCTTTCGAGACCTAGAGTATAGTCCTTTAGGTGGTTTCATTTAAGTAGTATTTGCCTATGCAAACGCTTGCTGTCTTTGTACGTGCTTCTGAGCAAAGCAAAAGAACACAAGCTCCTCTACTTATACTCAGCAGCCTGAATCTGGACTAGAGCCAATCCAGAAATACAGCCAAGTTAGCTCAGTGCTTTGTTTGAGCTGCTGTGTCGTGCTATAGAGCATCGAAATCAGAGTAGGTCTGCATCAAGCCACTTTGATATGGGCAGAGCTGTCTTCCAGTTGATGATGTAGCCTAAAAACTTCAATAATTCTTTTGTTTCTAGGGGCTGTCCTTTACTGTCACTGGTGAACTACTTACTCTGAAAACCCTGTATAAGCTTCCTGCGCTTTTACATGGATAGAGTTTCTTGGTTTTGAATGGCTAATCTTTTCATAAACATTAAATCGGGTTAAAAATAGTCTCATCCTTGTTCAGAAAGTACTGGTATATTCGGTAATTGATATCCTTTGATCTATATGTCAGGGCTGAGATGAAGTACGTTACTATACTGATCAATAATTAAAAGCAATTTGATTATGTTCTCGACATATATTGGGGGACAGGACTGATTTTTACAATACCATTGGGAAGCAAAATGTATTGCTGCTGACACTTGCTGAGCTCACTGCAGGTTACTGTATGCTGGACATTATCAATATCAATTTGAAGCTGTAAGGATTGCCAAGAATAAGAAGCCTCTTGCATATGAGACTGAACATTGATTTCTTCCCTGGGCAATCTTTCTTGAAGGAGGCAGTTCAATCACTTGGTCCTATTTGATAAGAAATGTAACTGTTTTGTTGCTACTATGAACTATATCTTTCCTGGAAGAAAGTTCAGTATCTTTTTCTCTTGTTTTTTAAAGGAGCTCTGCTGACGGTGGAGCATGTGAAGAATGATGTTGAAATTTCAGTGGAGGAAGGCAAAGAAACCATCCTCCGTGTGTCCGAGTAAGTGACTTTGCATCTCTCCTTCTAGCTTTGGGTCAGCAGTTCTAAAAATCACATGGTTGTAACATTGACAGTAACCTTTTCAGGTAGGAGGAAGAGAAGAATACAATTTTATTCATGACTGCATTACAGATGTCTCTTTGTAGCACAGACAAAACATTCAGAATATAGTCTAAACTTGATTTTTCTGGAAAGAGCTCTAGTATTCTTATTTGAATACTCGTATCTCTAGTTGCGTATGCTGTACCAGTCACTTTATTGTTTAGGTATTTGCCTTTTTGAGCTGCCATGGATTATTAAAAGCAAGGTCATTTTATATTTGGCAAGATTGGTATACAAGATTCCTTGGACTTGTGCACGTGGGGTGAAATGAATTTTAAAGGTTTATATGGCATTATTTTGGGCTCACTGCTGCATATAAGTGAAGGCACGATGTTATCTCCGAAAAGTGCTAATTAACTATGCCATGCTATCCAGTGTATCAATCTGCATCCTGTAGAAAGAATCTTGAACAGTTTTGTATAAATCTATTGTCTATCCTAAAAATAATCTGCTATTGGAATAAATATTTTGAAGTTTGGGGCAGGAAGGTGGTTTTTATGATCTGAGTAAGATCATATGCCTATCAGAAATGCAGGAGTAATGGTGTTAGTTTTGAGAAGCTGCATTGTCATCTTAGATTCCATATCAGCTAAGATACCTGGATAAATCAAGAGGAGGTATCTTAAGTACCACTGACATAACAGTGGAAATCTGATGTCTAGTATCTGCAGTAAGGAGCATATTTTGACCAATAACCATTGCAGTCCTAACTTAAAAGTATATTAACACTATGATGAGTTTGGAATTAGTGATTGTAATTGTGGGTTTTTAATACTGATGTTTTTTTGAAAGAACAGGGAGAAAAATCTGTTGTTCATGGACTTGCTGACAGACTTGCATTTTGTGAGCTATTTCAGTAGAAGATGCTGTTAAAAGCCACCAGTGCATCATAAGTTAG